GGTTTTTCCTCGGATTCCTCCGTTCGTGGGCCTCGTGGAAAGACTCGGACCCACATGCAGCCGGCGAGCAAAAGGTCCCGAAGCACGCAAGTCAGCGAGGAGTTCGCGAGAAGACTTCCTTCCGCCGCCACGTCCACATGGTGGAGGAACCCCCGTGGGAGGGTGCCATCTCAGGCATGCGCAGTGACTGTGACCTAGCCATCTGGACCAACACGCCCGGAACTCCGGCGGCTGGTGTCAAGTTCTACCGGTCGGCCAACGCGGTCCTCCTTACGGACGCCACTGTTGATCCGGCCTTTTTTCACAGCATTCAAATCCTGCAGAGCGCAGAGGTGTTGACTGCCGATGGCGGTCCACCTAACCCGCAGCAAGTTGCGCTAGCCATCTACCGTGCATCGGCAAGCGACGCACGGAGCAGTGAGCAATACATGGCCCTCTGCCTGCCAAGTGCATGTCAAGCCACTCCCCGAGTGCGTGCAATAAGTCTACCCATGTGTTTGCGCCGCAGGACTCGATGCAGGCCGTGCCACCAAGCGGACTCTAGAATTCAGGGGTAAGGTACGGGATCGAGGTAGACGTGTCAAGGTGAGTGTGCCGTCAAGCCCTAGAAGAAGCAGACGCAGGTCCGCATGTCGCTTGCTCAGTGGCCCTATGTGGGCCACTCGTGGCTCATTCCTCCACACCTGCCGGACAACGCCAGACACTCCAGCGCGGAGCCACAGAGTGTAGAGCCATGCGACAGGTCGGTCCAAGCATACGCGTGTGAATTCTAGGATAACACGTGTACCCAATAAACTTAGGAGGCTAAAGAGCTCCTCGTCCAAGCGAGTTTATAGAAGCCCAAGGCGCAGGCAGCGACAGACTACGAGGCAGTTCCGCAGAAGCCATGCCAGCATTGCAGCCATCAGACTTTACACTGCTTGCGCCTGCCCTATTGACAACACTGTGCTCTGCCTTGAAAATCTCCTGATTGCATGTGTCAAAGCCAGCTTTCACTTGGCTGTCAAACGCTCAGTCCCTGGCATGCAAACTATCAGCAGTTACGCTCCGCGCAAGCAAGCCCCAACAAGCAGACGCTGCAAGCCAAGACCAAGCAGCCCCAAACAATATAGCCGTCCCGGTCCCAAGTCCGGGGTGAGGTTCTGGCTACGTTGACTGGCTACGTCGACTCCTGATGCTCACGCTGATCGCCAGGCCTCATGGTGTGAGGGTTCCAACCCAAGCCGCATGGGTTGGGGAAAGCAACATATTTGCTAATCAAAGCCCAAATCAAGAGCTGAAGCAATGCGGTGTACAGCTATCTAATGTGCAAAATCAACTATCAACGCTGAGTCGTTCCGTCAAGCGCTCGTACAAGCGTGCATGCAGAAGAGCTCACAAATACGGACAGGTCACATACAAAGGCAGGGTGTTGAAAGCCAGCCATTGTCCATATGTCGGGCCCACTGAGAATGGCAGACAGCCCAAAGCCAACATTGCCGCAAGAAGGCCCAACAATGGGCTACACATATTCTGCTATAATGCCGGAGGTCTTGGAGGCGGGATGTACGAAGAACTGCTGCACTATCTGGATGAATCCCGCTATACGATTGCCGTAATACAAGAGTCTAAGTGGAGCCATGATTCCGAGTATAGCACGGCCAAATGGATATGTATCGGAACCGTTGACCCCAAACAAAAATATGCTGGTGTCATGGTTTGGGTTAGGAAAGACCTTACCAATCCGGAAGATCCGGAAGATGTCAAGTACGAGGCATATATTCCTGGACGCCTACTCAGGGTCAGGTCCCCCTTAGGGCAACAATACGTCAGTGCCGTTTGTGTGTACCAACACGCCTGGAAGCACAAAGATCCGAAAATTTTCCAAAAGAGACTCCATGTTTGGCAAGCCCTTGATAAGTGCATCAGAGCTATCCCCCAACGTGAGCTCCTCATTGCGGGTGGGGACTTAAACACTCAAGTATCCCCGGCACCACCGTATGTAGGGCCAGGCGCAGGGATGCTCTCTAAGGATCGAGCCCCTGACGCGGAAGAGCTCCTCAACTTGCTAAAGGCCAATCATATCACACTGCTGAACACATGGGCCGCCAGACAGGTGGATGCACACACGTTTTGGAAAGCACTCTGCTCAACTTGACTATGTGATGATAAGGCAGAAAGACGCGAACCTTCAGGCCAGACAGGCGCAACCCATCACCCAATGTCCATTAGGTGCATGGCGTCACGCAGGGGGACACCATATCCCGCTTATGGACTCCATACGTAAAAAGATCCCTCCTCCCAGGAAGCTCACGGCCCCAGTGTTGCAAATAGATAGGGAAAAGATAGTTGCATGCGCGCGCCAGCCCCACAAGCCTGACCATGCCATCCTTGTACAGCAATTTCGAGAAAGTGCGCAACGAGAGTTGGATCAGGTCGTTTCGGTGCCGGATCTGGGAAACATTGCGGACAAGGTCGCACAGGTGGCTGCCATAGTTTTTCCTGTTCAGAAGGCCAGCATAGCGAAGTACTCTAACCCTATTCTGCTCTCACTGGGGATCACCAACATGTGGAGACAATGGATGCTCATCAAGCGAACCCGGAGCGGAACCGGACTGCAGCAGATACTCCGACGATGGAAAGTCTGGGCGGCGTACTTCAGGCATTATCGCATCCATAAGCAACAATGCCAGGAACGTAAGAAACAGTTCTTGCGTGACAAAATGGCCGAAGCTGAAATTGCCTCCAGAAAACACGATCTCCGGAGTGTCTACAATATAGTTCGTAGTCTTGCTCCCAAAGCACCGAGAAAGCGTACACAACTAAAGGGTAAAGAAGGTAGCCTACTCAGTCGAACGGAGGAAGCTGATGTCTTCTGTGCGCATTTCAAGAAAAAGTTTACATCAACTAACGAATGGAGCTTCAATGCCAATCTCCTCTACACTGGTACCGAGATAAGTGCATATAGTGAGCTCCAACTCGTTGATGAAACGCAGCTTCAGCAAGACCTGCTTAAAGCCCCCCTTCGCAAGGCGGTCCCACCTGGGTACCCTCCGAGCGCCATCTGGCGGCTGTGTGCTGATCTGGCGGCCACAACGATTGCGACTACCCTGAATGGGAGCTGGAATAATGGCCCCATCTCCATCCCACAAGGCTGGTCCGATGCACACCTCGTCTTGATCAATAAGCCAGGAAAAACAGGGAGAGACCCCAATCATCATAGACCCATAGGATTGCAAGATCAGCTTGGTAAAATCACCTTCAAGCATATTCTTGACCCTTTTCTTGAAGACATCCATCACATGGTCAAACAGTTTCCTCAATATGGCTACGTACTTGGTAGGGGCACTACGGACGCGCTCCGTCGAGTGTATTCACACTGTCATGAGGTCAGAGAAGCTTGCCACGGACAGACTCACTTTGTCCTGCGAAGATTCCACGGGCAGGCGCCTGTCTCCACGGTTGGAGGTCTTCAGATAACTGTTGACCTTGGGGGCGCGTTCGACGCACTGCCCCCGCAACACTTATTAGACGGTCTCATAGGGATGGGTATCCCCCCGTAAGGTCATAGATGTGGTGATGACATGGCATCAACAGGCCCAATACAGCATAAGACACGATGACAGCGCCAGACACATAGAAGCATTTCAAGGGGTCAGACAAGGGTGTTCGGTAGCCCCAACCTTATGGCTAATGAACAGTAGCAACACATGCTACATAAATGCTGCAGTAGTTGCATGGTTACACATCACCAACCGTCTCAACTGCAATGACAGGCAGGCATATGGTTCCAGGATGCAGGCGTGGCGGGACATTATGCAGTCTCTTCGACCATTACATGTCCACACCCTTGCATCATGGCGAAACATACTTGCAGGCTGGCGTGACCTACACCGGCAGCAGGATGCCACTGAGTTCCTAGAATATTGGGTAGCCGTCGGTCGGCCCCAGGCAGTGGTTGGCACTTGGGAGGCAAGGATTGAAATCAGCAACTCATTGAGATTAGGCATCATTCATCCACTGATGTTGCTTTAGATCTTGATCTTGCGCAATCACATACCCCGCAAAGTCTGCAGCAACTCATCTTTGCATGGCATACACAGCAGCTGGGCATACAGGCTTTGAAGAATCCCCCTGTCATACTAATGATCCGACTGTCCAGATTCAGACAAGTGCAAGGCCAAATGCAAAAAGTTACCACCCCAGTCATAATTGCCCCCCGTGTGAATATACCCGTGTTTGATGATGACACACTGCAATGCACAAACGCCCCCTATCATGTTTGGTCTGTGATCCTACACGCTGGCCATTCCCCACATGCAGGCCACTACACCAGCAGACTTCTGCAGCAAGCTTACGTTCTCCTGCTCGGCAGGGGTTCAGCAGTGCACGAGCAGTGAAGGGGCTTGGGGGTACGTCGCGCTGAGTGCGAACGCAAAAAATTCCGCTGACTGGATGAATCTCGCAGCAACAAACATTTCAGCATCAGTTTGCGAACACAGGTACTCCCAGTGAGCCATTCTGGCCACTGCAGTTTTGTACAGTCTGAGAGCTAGTGTGCCCCTTCGGGCCACTTGTGCAGCGCGGTGTACAGTGCTACATAGCTTGCTGTAGAGCACCTACATCTACGTCTGACGGTCGTTTGATAGTTGAGGAGTCTTTCGCGGGCCATTCGTGGCACTGACTCCCACAGTGGATTTTGCGCACATGATGCGCCGGCGCAAGGCCGCCGCCACTTAGCAGTTCACAAGCCGACTTGGACTGGCTGTGCTCGAATGCGAATAGTAGTAGTAGTAGTTGTTGTTGTTGTTGTCGTCGTCGCCGCTGCTTTGGCTGCTGCATGCAGGAAGAAACTGACCTAAAACCAGCTAAACTCTGGATTCAGCTCGAGCTAGTATTCAGAGGACACATCAGGGGGTCAGGTCAGTTTGCTCATCATGTCTTTTTTTTTCTGACAACATATTTGACCGTCACGAATGAGAGGATGCCGGGACCTGGGCGATAGCCCATGGGCCTGGCGCGTTCTTTGCTGTGGTAGATGCAGATCCATCTATAAGCACGACTGACCGCTAGAGGGACGACAAACAAGCTTGGGACAAGCCCTTAGCCTGAATACCCCCCTTCCTACCTCCTTCCGTTATTCAGCTGATCATGGACGCCTGATCAGAGACCTAAAGACCAGGAACCATCCAGGTATAGTGATGTAATGTTTACGATAGCCGTATAGTAGTTCTGACACATCCAAAGCCTAGACTGTAAATCCTAATCTCCCTAAACCCAGGCATTGGAAGGCTTTGTTGGCTCTGATATTTCTGGCGGTGGCATGTGCGCTTCAGGGCTGTGAGGACTTCTACCGAGCCTCGGCGCAGTTGTGATACCGACATACATGGATACTTACTACCTACCTACACAGATACACGCATGTTACATGCGTACTTCTGTGTGTGCTGCGCAATGCTGCGGCTGGCAAGGAAGTTCATCAAACTCGATGGACTAGCGCAGGTTTTTTTTCAATTGACATTAAGGCTTCTTGGCCTTGCAAGGGCTCCCTTCTGTGCAGGGGATCTTTTCCGGTGGCGCTGCTAGTGCAACCCATCGAACTGGCTTCAGAGCACAGAGTGCTTGAAGGTTTCTGCGAACGAGCCGCCTGCAAATGCAGAACGCACATATGCCGTCAAGCAGAAGTAAGCAAGGCTTCGACCTTTTCTGTATGCACAGTTGCCTGCAGAACGCTGAAGCCTTTGCTACCAGAGAATGGTTCTTCCATAATCGTTACAGTGGACCATAGACCCTCAGCCCAGCTGCACCCTCATTGTAACATGAAACAGAGTCATCACAACGATTCAGCAAAATCGTCTTTGCGGGTCCCTTGCTGCTCTGCGTTGAGAGACTGCTGTCAAGATGGGGGATGCCGTTCTACATATTGGCTCAGCTCAGTATTTTCCAGATCTTCTCAGCATCTAATACCAGGGCGATGGAAGCAGGAGTAGGAGGAGCAGAAGGAGGCAAAGGTGGAGTAGCAGAAGCTGTTGCAGTAGTAGCATTGACATTGGGATTGGTAGTAGCAGTCGAGATGGCGGGGGCATTGCCTGCATTGTGCACTAGCCCCGCAAAGTGTGCCAAGGACAAACGTGCGTCTGGCACAGCGATCTCAACATCAAGGGATGTAGCTACTACGGCTTTCGCGGGTGCCAGGGCTGCCTCAAGACAAAGCTATGTGCTTACGGTGGCCTATGATTGGCAGCCTAGTTTCTCGCCAAGCCAAGGTGTATCCAGCACTGCACCTACTGCCTCACTCCAAACGGTCCCGATGAGTGTGCGCAGATGAAGTGCGCTGCATACTGCGCCGGACGGGAAAATGCCGACTGCATGAGGACGGGAAGATGTGCAACTCAGACAAGTGTGTAGCTCCTTCTTTTAGCTCCCATCCTCCTGCAAGGAACTATGCTGCTTTGTGCAACATTGCTCTTGAGGAGGGCTTCAAGGCTGGGTTGTGAGGTGTAATTCTATGCGTGAGGGTCGCTGCATCTTCGTCAGGATCTAATTCCTTTTCTGACTTTCGAAACAGGGGTCCATAAAAGTTGACAAAGCCAACGAGGCGGCATGTCTCAGGAAAATAGTCACCTGGCAAAGTTTTGTTTGCGCATGCGAGGCGGCACGTACTTGGCTATGCTGTCAGATCGCCGAGAGCATGGAATGTTCTTCTTAAGAAATAAGTGTCTTGAGGCCAATACCTCGACTGGTTCGACATACTACACTTGCGATGTGCAGTGCAACTTGTTCAGCATTCTTGAATACAGATGGATTGCGGTTGAGGGATAGTTGGAGTTTATAGGATGCAAAAAAGTGTTGAAAAGACGAGGATGTCAGACAGCAACAGGTGGGAACAAGGGTACAGATAATCCCAAAATACTTTGGAGGTTTATGATATGATTCTATGATATGATACATGCTTGTTCGAGTTGCCTAGTCTACATATCTCCTGTGTCGCAAATCTTTACCACGAGCCACTCGCCGCCCTCCATCCTAAATCTTGGGCAGTGCCCTTGATCTCTTGGACGCTGACGCCTGAACTCGAAACCCAAGGCAGTAGCGCCAGAGCTGCAAGTGTGGCACTCCCGCTTGCTTTGCGCCTGGGATGCGAGTGCTTCGGGTTCAGGTGCAAGGAGTTTATGTAGGGATTTGGGGAATCTGGAGCTTGGGGTTCTAGGTTAAAAAGCTCAGGCTTAAAGGTTTGTCAGGGGTTTGACAACCACGCACATCGCCAGTGGTGTGTTTCAAGGTTGGAGCCCAGTCATGTCCAATTTAATCCTGACACTTGCATCTGCGTTGAAGCCGCAGCGGGATTCAGCGTGTTTGCTTTTTTTTTGGGAACCTACTGCACATGCTGTTTGGGCATGGATCTTGGCTAATCATGTTAGTGAAAATGAAGACCGCGTGGAGGAGCTGATGATTTTTGTCAAACCGTATTGCCATGATCGCCTTGAAATCAAGGACCCTGGCAGCCAGTGGCATACCGAAGAGGTTCTTGGTTCTGGGAGGACACCTGACGTTTGAAGATGTTGTGTCACAGGGGAGACTACCATCAGGATTATTGTTGCTAGCATTGTCTCAACGTATTTGCCGTTGTCGCTGCCGTCGTCGTAGTTGTTGTCGTTCTTGTACTTTGTATGACCGCACTTTACCTCGACGTGAATGCAATCGCGATCATGGAGATGATACTGATTCAATGCTGCTTTGAAGATCACCAATGACAATGCGCCGATGCCGACCCGAACGTCGACGCCGATGCCGACGACGAGGCTGAGGACGAGGCCGACGACAGGGAGGAGGACAAAGGCGAGGATCAGGATGGCCACCGGGATGGGACCGAGATCAGGCTGAGGAAAAGACAAACACGATGGTGGTGACACAGGTACGATAATGAAAACTCTTGTTTGCTTGAAGCTATTTTCATTGTGCGATCGCACTGTTCATGTTCCTACAGACCCAAATCCCTGGAGACCAACTTTGCGAGAACATTGCCTTTGTGATTTCAATTTCCCAGGAGTGTTGGCCTGGATGACTTCCCTTCAGGGTTGCGGCTGCAGCCCCCCGTCTCCTCAGCTTTCCTGGCGACCGGATAGCGCCGTCTTCGATGAGAGGTTGGGGCAGGGAGTTGAAAGACCCTGTGTAGTTGGCAGGGCGGACGTGTCTGTTTGAGCTTGGAGCCACTTGGACTGTGTACACGTGTTCATTTCTCGGCAGCCCTGATCCCAACAGTTCTTCATGTGTGATCCCTGATCCAGGCATCTGTCCTGTGTGTGCGATCTTTCAATCAGAATCTTTAGATCCGCTAAAATGTGCCAAGCCGTGGTCCCATCATGCTCACCACGTAGTTTGCATAGGGGCTCCTTCAGCATTCCGCCACACTCCCCACATTATCGCGAGGGCATCCCAACATGCTATCTGTCTATGCTCCCTGGGTGCTTCTACAATGTTTATTCATATGGATGCTAAGCCCAAAGTCCTATGCCCGAGCCCTGCAAGACCCTGAGCCAAAGTTTCATTCTAAATCTTGACCCACCAAGCCCAAAATCCTCCAAACCCGGAACCCTGGTGTGTTTCTTTGGTGGCAGGACTCGGCGTGTGGTGGACGGCATTTGGATGGGCAACCCCTCGTGGGTCTGGTGGCCTGAGCTGGAGTCTGAGGACCTCAGTAGAATATGGCTCTCGTTTGAGGGTTTAGGCCAGATGAGATTCATTGGGAATCATGCCATGCTATGCAAAGGTGTGTCCTTGGTTAGAGGCACCACTTGCCATCTGTGTTAAAGACTGTGTAGCTGCGATGCTTCAAGGTGGAGGAAGAGGTTGAGTGCATCGGGGACCGCCATGTCATGGCTACACATGTTGATCATGTACTGTGAGATACTGATACTGTGAGGATAATCGTGGAGCCTGATCGTCTTGACTTCGTCATTCTCAGCTTAAGTTATCTAGCAGTTTTCTTCTTCAGCCAATGGACGAAAGTATGTTTCTGCTGCTGTAGAAGAGCTAAAGCTAATGCATTCAAGAATACAAGCATTATTGCTAAAAAGCCCACACCGCCTCATGTAGACACACCTTTTATTACCAAGGTTGTAGACAAAGTCTGTAAGCCTGTTGTCTCCTTCTTCATTTCCTCTGTTAAGCCGCAGAACACGAAAGCTGGCCTCCGGGTCTAGCCTGAGTTTCTTATCAAGCGTTAGCTTGCACCCAAGTATCATGGACAGGCTGGGTGAATCTATCTTTAAAGGTCGTCAACCCTTGAACGCAGTCCGGAGATTTGCACGTCAAGGCAACAATGCTGCTAGACAATTTCGGGACGCGGTCCCCAGTGCAGCAACTCAACATGCGCAAGAGACGGCTGATTTGTTCAAAAAGTAAGCAGTCTTTCAACTTGGACAAGTTGTATGTCCTTGACGTGGTCTCTCTCACAGCAGCTGATGGGTTTGAGGAAAACCTAGTGATTGCGCGTGTGCTCACATCATGCTAAGTTATTGTGAGCGGCATGAAAGCCGCAACAAAGGTTATCCTGCGTTTCTTCAGCATACATGCCCCTTAGCACCTTCGCCAAAATAGGCCTTTGTTAGGAGAAGTTTTCATAAGCTCTCATGTCAATTTCCCGGATCATGTACCCTTGCTCATGTTGGGAATTTTGCAGAGGACTACCAGTGCGTGGACATGCACCCGACCCTTGACATCTGTGCTTCCTGGACGTCCCATGAATGGAACTGCGGGGAGCACGACTTTGGCATGTGAGCCTTCCCTTATTTTATCACCAGCATAACGCACAATGTGTTGTCAACAGCTTGAAATGCACATGCGTGTAGGTGTGTTTATGGGAATGAGAAGTTAGACCGCCTAAGCTGCAGCCTCGAATCCAGAGTTATGAAGATTTTCAATAACCCCATAGTAATGCCTGAAGAGGATTGCTCAACACAATCGGCTCGGCAGATCATGCTGATAAATCTTTCCAGTATGATCATTCACACAGACCTCAAAAGTTCCCCCAGAAGTCAGAAACACACTGGACCTCCCTAAGGGTACCACCAACTTCGAGAACCACCATGTTGGTCATTTCCTCACAAGCTAAAATGCCCATCTCACCCCAGAAGCCCAAATGCCATTGACGTGATCCAGACGAAGGCCCAACTCTCGACCTCATAGGCGTTATGCCCTGCCACCCAACATTGTATGTCATAAACCCAAACCCCAAGGTAAGTGCTTCCAACTTGATGCGAACAACCGGTACTGTGAGAAGTGGAGTTGCCACAGCCTGGAAGCTGATCAGGAAATTTGTGGCTCGACGCATTAGTTTTTTCCCGAATGCTCCGCGGAAGGGTTCCCGTTTTGAAGGTTGGGGTCCAGGGGTTCAGGAGCTGACCAAAAATCGTTGATTTTGTGTCCGCAAAGAGTCCGCAAGCGTTCGCGAGTGTCGCGACCCGGCTAGAGGCCCCGAGGGTCGCGATCCCTGTAACTGTCGTCATTTTTGGACATTCATGTGTGAAAAGTGCTGACAGTTACAGGGATGGGACCTGTTGGGGTCGGGATCCTCGAAAATGTTGTTGCATCGTCGCTTGTCAGCAACAGAATCAACAGTCATGGGGATGGTGCGTGTTGGGGTTGACATCCTCGTAGCGGGATGTAGCGGGCATCGCTTTGGGAGCCTCGATGAGCCTCGTTGCGTCGCCGCGTGTCAACAGCGTTGACAGTCACGGGAACAGACGTGTTGGGCTCGCGATCCTCGAACATGTCGTCGCATAGTCGCTTGTCAGCAACAGTGTCAACAGTCACACGGGGATAGGGCGCGTTTGGGTTGACATCCTCGTAGCGGGATGTAGCGGGCATCGCTTTGGGAGCCTCGATGAGCCTTGTTGCGTCGCTGCATGTCAACAGCGTTAACAGTCTTGGGAGCGGGACGTGTCGGGGTCGAGATCCTCCAAACATGTCGTGTCGTTGTGTTCGTGTCGTGTCCTCTTTTTGTCTCCCTGTCATGTCTTCTTGTCGATGCTGCACAGGGGCTCAGCGGCCCAGCGCATCCAAAGAGCCGCAAGCATGGCCAAGCAAGAGGACTTTGCAGATGTGTTTGAAGACTTTGTCCGCTCCGGGAAGGAGGCAGATGCTGCCATTGAAGCTGCTGTCGAGGCAGCCCGGCCGGCTCTGCGGGAGGGCACGGCATTTCATGCGCAGCATGGGCGGTTTGCTCGTAGAGGCAGGGCTGCTATAGGCTCCCTGATGAAGATGCTTTGGCCCAGGCGGAGGAAGATATGGAGCTTGCGAACCTTTCACGAATTTCTCCACTGGAAGGATGCAGTGTGCACTGTTGAAAGCTCCAGAACTGATGTTTTTGTGCCTTGTACTTTTCTGGATGTGCTCGAGCCTCTGTAATGTTCTGCGTTACTTCTGTCGTTCTTGCGATTTGCGTGACACGTGTCTGCATTCGGGTTGGTGGCTCCCACCAGGGTTTTGTGGCCTTGGGGTTTAAGACTTCGGGGCCGGATTTAGGGAGCAAGGGGTCAAGAGTTTAGGGTTTAGGGCTTGATTTGTCGTTTCTTCTGGAGCCCCTGTCTCAATGCTATGTCTGCCACGGTTCTCAGATCTAAGAAGGCTTTGGAGCGATAATTCGATTTGTTTGCATGCGCGCGGAGAAACTGAACTGCCAGGCCAATCAGAGCTTCAGCAAAAATCGTGCATTTTTTTGTGTTTTTGGATGCATGATGCCAGGGTCTGCTTTCAATTGACATGGCTTCTTCCAACATGTGCCCAGCTTAGGTCACCACACACACAGCGAAAATGGTGAGGACGGTGTGCAGTGTTACTACAATGCTTTTCCCATGAACTATGACGTGTACAATCAGATTATGTGCCCCTGACATGCTTGGTCTTTGTGTCCCTAATTTTGATGTTCTTTCAAGTTGGCGCGTAGCCAGGGAACAGCAAGCGGGTGGCTGGCTCACGACTGGGGAGAATGCAATGCATCAGCCGCTTGGCGAAGGTCCAGTGGTAATCGCAATGGCATGCTGGTTTCTTTGTGGGCAACAGCGTCAGGCACACTAGCAAAAGCACCAGCAGCAACAACAACGATCAAAAGTTTCGCTGTCAGTAACCCAGCTAGGGCTAGTTTTCTATTTCTCACACTGCCGCCGTCACTGCCGCGGCCGCAGCCGCGGGCACCCACCGGAAGTACCCCACGGAACCACTGGCACCTGCACGGTGCCGGCAGCACCGCCACCTGCAGCACCGCCACCTGCAGCACCAACAGCCCTGTACATGCACCCAGCACGCGCTTTGGCAGCTCCTGCTCTGTTTCTGCCAATGCGTGGACGACACGATGACGGAGCTTATCTTAGTGGTAACACGAATCCAGCCGGAAGAGGTGCAGGATGTGCCACATGCATTTTGCCAAGTTACCAGTTTTTTGGCTGCTGAGTTGGTGGCGGCCCACCAGCCTGTGGAGGGCGGACATTGGGCGGAGACTCGGTGAGGAGGGCCAGAGCATGTGTAGCACATGCTCGACCAGACTGAGGTCTGAAAAGATTTGAATCAATCCCTTACCCCGAAATATTGGACAGGTCTCCCTTAAAGAGGGAGTCATGTCCGCTGAAACAGTAGACTCATGGGCAACATGCCGTATTATTAGGTGGGCGAGTGTGCATTGTCCTGTGCAGGAAGAGCTGCTTCACAAGCCAGAGGAGGAGATTCTAAGTGACTACGTGGGTCTCGCAGCAAGGAACAAGTTATTAGGGCCATTCAAGGTGGTGAGTGCTATGAACTGAGTTGTGCTGGGAACTTCGGGAGCCTTGAGGAGTGCTAGGGGATTTGGGAGCGCCTTTCCTCTCCACGAACAAACCCAGTTTGCATCCAGGACGGGGCGTACACCAGACTACTTTTTCTTGTATAACTCATGGCTGCAAGTGCTGAATGACAACATCTTGTGCTACTTCCTTCATTCCTAAGTTGAGGTGGTTGTGCAGAACATTTTCCGGTAGCAAAATCTTGAGCTTTGTTCTTGATTCAGGGCAGGCCGATGTTAAATCGATCTTGCGATTCGTTTGTGCTCCGGGTTCCGTATCCTGTGTGCCCAGCCCAGGAACAAGAGTTTCCCCATGAATGATTTTTGCAGTTAACAACATGGTGGGCTTTGGACAGAGGCATGATCGCCAGACATAAGACATTGATGACCACAATACCTTTACAATGAGTGAGGTGTAGAGCAGCTGCGTCGGGCATGCTTTCCTGGTAAAAGAACACCACACCTCAACCCCCAAGCCCCTGGACACTAGGCTCTAACCCCTACAATCCCAAAGCTTTATCTTCAAACTCAGGTTATCTGCGCCAGCACAATGCAAGTGAGGTGGAGCGCTTGGAGAAGCCTCCTGGCTAATTTGGCAAAAATCTTTGGGATGCTCGCGAAGAATCTGGTTCAGGCAAAGGCAGGAGCCACCGCTGGTTTCCGAAAACAAGGTAGCACTCACCTACACTTGCGTGGTCCGTACCGGAAGATTGCACAAAGGGTTCAACGAGGTACTGACCCATGGGTCGCTGCGGGTTCCGTCCATGCTGGCAGGTCATTTCATGGACAGGGTGTGGGTTTCAATTCTGAGGAATCGCAGCAGACATGCCCACATGCAGACATTCTGCGGGCATGCTCCTCCCGCCTTGCTTTAGAGTGCTGGATGTATATATCAACAAACATTCACCTGGTGGACCTCAATAGTGCCGTGGCTATTCAGGGAATCCCTTAGATGACGTGCGGTCACCTATATCACTATATACCCCTGTATACAGCCCTATATATACCTCTATATAAACCCTATATATACCCCTATATATAACCCCTGAGTTGAGAAAACAGACAGCAAGGCTGGGTGTCATCACGGACCCTCGGAGGCTTGCGGGTCACTCGCCTGAGTTTCTCTGGGCTGAGACTGGATAGAATCGAAAGGGCATGTAAAGGCAAGGAATGCCCCAGCAAGGATTGCAGACTTTTCAACAAGGAGCCTCAGGGAGGAGGACCTTCATAGGTGCTCGGATGGGTGCCCCTTCTTGAATGCTCACGCAGCTTGTCGCTGAAGTCGATTTGAGAAAGGTTCGTTTGTCTATCTATGGCCTATAGCACCTTTTCAAAGTTCAGAATGTCAGAGAAATTGATTTGCAGAGTGGCATGGATGGCAAACCAAATGTTTTTTGCCTGCTGGCAGGTGGCACGGTTTGAACGTCATGTGTTCAGGGCCCAATGGGAGGTTGGTCGGTGGTCGGTGCCTGCGGCATTCTTGTCGTGGCCGCAAGTATCTCACAGGGCTCAGCGGCCATGTTTCGTGGAGGGTCCTACCGGCAGATGGCCGGATAAAGAGCGATGAGTATAAGAGGCAACCAAACTAGGTCTCGCCTATCATGGTGTTTGTAGATGGCTAAGAAGGAGCCTTTGGTCATGACAAGGCCCGTCAAGTGGGATCTAGGGTTTACATTTCATATTGTATTCTTTTCATTTGATTTGGAATTATTGGGTAATGTCTTTATACAAGCCTTATACAGTCCATGTAGAATCGGTGTTCTGGGCATATGCAAGGACATTGAAGCACGTTTTTTGCCAAGGCACGATTGACTGGCCTCCTCTCTATGCGCATCTCGGTCAGCATGCAGCAAAAAACTGGTCTGTTTCATGCCTCTCTCACTAACACTTGACATCATTGCACTTTGAAGTGCCCTAAACCTCACTCAGAAACTCAGAAACTCCCCGCCTCCCAGCCTGATGGTTGGGACAAGGGGGAAAGTCTGATGTCAGGCCTCGCAATGGCCCATGCAGGTAGACGTGCATGTGTCGTTTTCAAATGAGTCACGGCCCAAGAACTTCCAGAACCTTTAAATCAGTGACTGCTCCTGAAATTGCAATGCAAACGGTCTCTGCATGCTTGATTACTTGATGCTTTCTGGCACTGGTATTCGTGCCTGTGACTTTGGTGCGTTTGTGTACGCATACGCACAGCTTCCTGCCATCCTGCAGTATGTGAACCTAGCGAATTTCGGAGATGGAGCTGATCAGAGTTTCCAACAACAAAGGTCTGGTCGGCTGAAGGGGGTGAGGCCGCTTGTTTCGGGCATGTTGCTCAAACAAATTTCTGCGAATTGCCGTCCAGGCTGTGAGAACCGCCCCTAGCAACTACGTCCTAGTAATTATGTAATGTATGCATGTAACCCGGACCCTGTATTCTGCAAATTTGATTGTTGCTGGGCCGTGTTTTGACACCTCCTCTCTCTAGGCCTACGTTAGGCCTACGTTAGGCCTACGTTATGCCTGGGGAGCACAGGGAGGCTTCATTTTTCATGTGCCGGGATTTTGCTTAGCATGCAAAGGCGTTCACTAAGTTTTGCCTCTGGACGGACACTTCTTCAAAACTCTGGCGCTAACAATTGCCATAAAATGGGTGCCCAGCTGGTACTGTAATCTGAAGAAGGGTGTTCTCCCCATGGTGTAGCCTTTAAGGGACCTTCAGGATAACTTGTATCTGCTTTCATTTGTCCTCTTGATTTGTTCAATTAGTGGTGTGTAAGCGCATAATGGGGTCCCTGCTGACGACAGCTGGTCTGGTTGAAAATTGCGTGCCGGAACAGAATGGACTGCTTGCAGTGCTGAGGTTTTTTAGTAAGCACGGCTGTAAACTCTGTCAGACCTTTCATCAATCATCCCAACTTTTCTCACCACTGGCAACGCGGCGACCCTCCAAGTGCTCTGAGGTACAGCCCAGCGGCAAGACACCTGTACTTCCGATGGGGTGATGTCTGCATTGTGAACGGCGACAATGTGGTGCTGGCGAAGAGGCGGGCTTCTAGTGATGCCTGGGCTGCTAGTTGCCATTGCTAGTGCTACGGTTGTTAGTTTTGACTACTACAAATACCAGTACTGGTAGGCAAGCCCCTGCACCAGCTATGTCTGCTTGGGAAGGCGATAGGAAAGAAGGGAAGGACCTACTGTAAATACGAGCGTATGCGGCATCTCCACCGATTCTTGGATGCTTGGTTGGAGTAGGGATGGTGGCGGAGGCGGCGGCGGCCGCGGTGGCGGTGGCGGCGGCGGCGGTGGCGGTGGTGGTGGTGGTGGGTGGCTGCTGCTACTGCCATGCTACCACTGCTACCACCGTGCTACCACTGTGCCACCTCCTGCCACCACTGTGTCAGCAATGTGCTACCAGCACAACCGTGACGCCACTTCCGCCGCCGTCGCCGCTGCCCTCCCCCGCCGCCACACCCACCACCGCCGCCGCCACCACCCACCGCCCACCACCCACCCACCCACTTACCCACCCACCCCCCCACCCCCAACACCCCCAACCCCCACCCTAAGCCTTGTTTTTCGGGATTGCCGTGACGTACCGCCACCATCACCGTTACATAAACTAGCAACAAGACTATGAATGCTATCAGCGCGACTTTCTTCTCCTCCTCCTTTAGCGTGCATGTGACCATTGCCACGGCAGCTGAATGGACACACTTACTTTAGGCTGTCTTTTCTACATCTACTCCTTTCATTTGTTTACTCTGGGTTGTCACCAGAATAATGAACATTTTGAGCGGCATGAGTACTGCCATTATTCTTCCTGCAAGCCTCCTGACACTGCTGCAAAGGTATTGCAATTATTGGCGGGAGATCGAAACTGAGATTCAGATCTGCGAGTGCAGAGCTGAGGACGTGGACGGAAGGCAGGAGGGTTGCTGTTCTCAAGGATTGACCACACCAGGCTTCTATATTTCTTTGTGGGTCGTTGCGGGTGTTGGGGTGATTGTACAAAAGGCGGGAGATGTTTTTCTGTGTTTGGTGTTGCCATTTATGACTTTTCTTGGGGGCGCTATAGTGAATACTACAGAGTCCGTTCCTTCCTGCCCTGCCCTTTGGCTAGTTTTGCTTCTGTAGTTCCTAACATATTTCCGTAGAAAAGGACCGAGTATCTTGGGAATAATGTTCCGTTCCTTTCTCAAGTTCAGCAAGATAAGAAAGACAGCAAGCATGCCCCAAGTGTTGTAAGTTTTGTAGAAGCTTTTCAGTGCCTGTCAGTGAGAGGCAGGGCAACAACGAACTGACAATACGACTTAAGGGTATGATTTTTTCGCTCCCCAGATAATCAGGATGTTTCATGTAAGGCTCAAGAAACAGGGGCCTCAACAGAGAGCCGCAGCTTTGGTAAACACTCACATGGCTCCAAATATACATGTCTTCTCCAAGCCTGATTAAGCCATGGCCCTCAGAGTTGAAGCATGGATCCATGTTTTGGGTTTCCAAGAGTGTTCAGGGGATGTCCAGGGCCCAGGAAATGTATTACATCGAGGAGTTGTGTAGGGAAGATTCAATGGAGTCCTGCATATGATACATGAGGAAGAATTTCTGAGACAGGTCGTGTGCTCGATGGACTTGTGAGGATCGCGATGCTGCTGCCCCAGGAGTTGATGGTTCAAACTGGGGTTCAGAAGTTCTTGGGCTTTGGAGGACTTGTGAATTTCACTTGGGATCTAGGGCTTCCGGCTAGCAGGGAACTTGCCAAGTTCATTCAGGGTTTCGTGCGTCGTGGAGCTTCGGAAGCGTGAGGGCTACAGGGCAAGTGAGGCATTCATGAGAATTGTCTTGATTCATAGAAAACCTGCAGATAAAAACAAAAACAGCTTCAATATCAATATTCCAGTTTTTCTGTACCCCGAAATCAGTGATGTGAACCGGCCTCAAGAATAGCTTCAGAGAAGGTTCGTAAAAGATGTTCCTTGAGTAGGATTGCTCCAAGATTCGCAGGGGTTGGCTTCTCACTGGTGATTTGCGGAATGCACGATGCACTATATACCGTTAACCTTTAATCTCCAAACTCCAGACTTTAGACCGCAATTTAGAAACACTGTGAGCAGTTAACATGCAAACCAACAATTTACTGATAAACGATGTTTTTCAGGTGGGCCTCTTCAGCGTCCTCTTTCGCACTACGCCGCCGACTTAGCCGCCAAACCCAGGGAGCCTCATTTCCTCCAGCCTAGACTTCAAATGAGGTTCGTGAGTTTGGAGGTATGTCCACATTGAAACATACATATGGCTGTATGGTTACATATAAATATATAAATCTGTGCATATATATGTATATATGTGTATACACACATATATCTTGGTAGCGATTCTTCGTGGTGTTTTTGGGCTGCTCCTCAGCGAAGTAATGTGTTTCAGACTCCCCTCCGATTTTGAACCTTCAAAGCCCGTTCACTGAATTGGGGATTTGAGACCGTTGAATTTCAAAGTGACTGCGGGAGTGTCCCAGGCAGTCGATTGATCAGTACACGGAGGGCGTGGAGTTTGAAAGCTACACCTGCACCAGGTGGGTTGTCAGATCTGCGAAAATTTTTGTTGGGGAGAAGACAATGAAGAGTTTCACGGTATGATATAAATGCCATGTTGAAGGGAGTTCAGCTGCAAGCCTGATCCTGAACCCTGAAGTTCTGCTAGCCGGCCACTGCATTGCAGTGTGAGTTGAAGGACAAATGTCGACGGCGAGTGCGTGTCGTGGCAAGGGGACATCTCTTCTCTTGAGGAGGCAGGACCCAGAGAGCCCTAGCCTGCTTCATTCAGGTTTACTCGAGTTATGTTCGGGGCAGCATACCGGCCTGTGCAATTCAACATTGATGCCTCAGTGAAGGCATAATCGACTCCCGCAGAACACTGGATCCGGGTCAGTTTGTTTTTGCTCCAGACCCAATGTTTATCCGTTGGAATGCCTTTCGTCTTCACGCCGCCTGCTTTCCAGGCTTGAACTGAAGTGTAGTTTTGCGATGCTGGACGTTGCTCAGCGCAGAGGATTCGGAAAGCACCGACGCTAATTCTACAATCAGCGATTCCCTTCTCTCCAGCACTTTGCTCCGTTTAGTTTCCTCCAATCAAACACGCAACTTTCCACTTTTGCTGTTGTTTTGCTGTTGTGCCATCCACTCTTCTGGGAAGTCTTCTCTTCTGACATATAAGAATCTCTCTGGAGTCCAGGCTTGTGAGGATGCGCAGGTTTCAAGATTCAGAACGTTTCTTGAAACATACTAGGTTAGGCTTTACAGAATTTCAACACATTGAAGGGCTTTTGGGTTCCCTGGCAGGTTGCTCAATGTTTCCTCAAGATCTGATCATCCCCTCCATCTTGCGCAAAGTGAAAGTGCCCTAACAAGGACGAATTGACCCCAAGAAGCTGACTGTGGATCATTTGGAGATCTGCGTTTGGGATTCTTGAGTAGGTTGATGTGACGGCAATGAAGACCGGAGACGTTGATCTGAGACCAGAACAAAGCATTTCATGTTTCCTCATGCAACCTTTTTTTGGGCACGTTCCATTTGCTCAAACATGAGAACTCCCGTGCCGACATTGACTTGAGCAACGGCATACACGTTCCCCAAACAATTCTCGATAAATACCGAATCATACAGTGACAAATGCTCAGCTCTGAAATAAGCCTGTTCAGAGGTGGAGTGGACCAGCTGCCAAGCGGTCGATGCCTCGACGCACAGGCAAGTTGGTATTGAGTTTAAGTTTAAGGCCTTGGATTTGAGGGCGAATTGCCAAGCCTCCTGTGCCCAGCAATGAGAGCTGTAAGAATAAATCCGCGCATATCACTTTTTTCCATTTCCTCTATCCGATCTAATCCCTCATCTGAACCCAGAGTACCCTGCTGGAATATCTCTTAAAGAAACAGTTAGCTCGCCGGATAAATTGGCATAGGGAGAAAAGGACTTCGGAAGGGTTCGTGGAGCATTAATGGGAAACACAGATATGAGATCCTACAGGGTCTGCGCAGTCACTGGGAGAGGAGCTGGGCTCTCACTTACGCTTTTCATTGATGACTGTGCTCGATGGGTTTTGACCATGAGACTTCTGCTTGGATAACCATCCACAAGCCCCAAAGCGTGAAATCCTCAGCTGTGCATGGTAGGCTGGGCGCTGTCTGGGTCTGCGATGAGTGGGAGCTGCCCAAGACGCGAGACCTCTTCTACGAGGCTTTGGGCTCAGGGATTGGGGAGGCTGTCCGCTACAAGTACCAGCATATACCAGCATCATGATTTCTGTTGGGCCTGGACTCCAAGTCATGGATCCTTGAAGCACCTGGATGTCAGGGGACCCTTGAGGACCCCCCCCAGCACCCTTCGACGTCTTCCCAACCTACATGGAAACCGTTACCACCATTACATCCAACAACTCTGAAGCCACCCGAAAAAACAGCGTAGTCATCCCCTATGGTCCGAGCCGTTTTGATTTTGTGCGGCAATACCAAGAGCAACATCGGCATCCTCTGCACCTTCATCTTCATTGAGCTCTTCGTTGCTCCTGAGCGAAAAATCTTGGGTTCTAAGGCGAAACCGGGGGATGGGATGTCTTCAGCCCATGTGGGCTCACCCCGACCATGCATCTGTCTTCTCTTTGGAAAGCAGAAGTTCAAGGTGGTTGCTCTGGAGAAAGGTATTCTGAACTCTGAAGGGGTTAGCAAAATGGATCCACAACTTTGGGGGCCTGAGTTCTATGGCCTTGCAGATTGAAGATTCTCACGAATAGTGTAATTTCAGATCCCTTTCGTGATCTGAGGAAATGAGAAGAGCTCTGTAGGTCATCCCTTGCCTCTAGTTTTGAGAGACCAAAACCTGGAGACCTTTTCCACGCCTTCCTGCTACCTATGCCAAGGGGGACACGAGCCCGGCAAAGGGATCAAGTGAAAGCTAGCCAGGCCGCAGAGCATGTCTTTTTATGCTCAGGCATTGGCTGCTTCGTTAATGTGGGTGGGGTGGTTTATAGGGGGGTTGTATAGGGGATAATGGAAAAGAAAATGGAAACTACAGGGATTATAGGGGTTATAGTTATAGGGATTATGTAGGGGCCCTATACTGGTTGATTACTGATTATGATCACCGTGGTACTGCGAAGAGCAGCACCAGTACTAGGAACAAATGCAGAAGCGACAATTGTTACCATCAGCTACAGAAAAGGCCTGCCAGCAAGCTAACGGGTCTGGCAGTCTCTTAGCTGATGAATATCCCTCAGGGTGTTTCAGTGTTCTTAATGAAGTTTCTCAAGCCTAACACTAGAACCTAACCTCGGGTCTGGACTTCAACCCTAGTCTCTGAACCCTACACCTAGACCTGAAACCAGAACCTAAACCTTCAAGCCCGAGACCTAGATCGACGCCTAGGCCTAGGCGCTGCTGCTTGTTTGGCATCTTCTTTGGTTTGTATTACACCGACCCAGTGGCGGTATAGGTCCCAGAAATGCATTGGTATTTTAGAAGGAACAGGACGTAGGGACATGCCATACATGCAGCACTGGGAAACTCTATTGCTATGATCTCTATGGTCCCCAAGTCATAGTACGTTTCCCAGATTCCTGATTCCCCTCCGAAAGTGAGAAGCACCCATTTATCCCAGCATCCAAAATGGTGCTGAGGTCTGTTGCCTTGCAAGGAGCGTCGACGAGGATGGCGATGTCTCTGGGACCAGATGATTTGGGGTTTGGGTTTTGGAGGTTTATGTCAGTCTCCTAGGTTGAGGGTTTAGGGTTTTGGATGTAGAGTAGTTAGGAGTTTAGGAATGCAGGTTTTGCACGGTGAGGATGAGGAGACAGACTTCCGAGATGAGTGAAGGGCTACTCTGGACATCCATTCCTTCATTCTTGGCTGTGCACTGGGTGGCTTCACAACATGGGACTTATCATTTAGCTGTTCGCAATGCTTTGTGACCGGGTAACCAGGTCTAGGCTCAATTTGGAGAAGCTTGGGAAGCAATTATTCAATAGGGGTATTCTCATGAGAGCTAGTTCCTCAGATGTTGCGAGAGTTTTCGTTCATCAATTTGTAATTCTTGCGCTATGGAAGACTTTTCTAATCATCTGGTTTGATATTCCAGAAATTTAGGAGTGCATGCGGGGAGGCTCCCCACACCCGCCCTATGTGAGCCATAATCTAAACTCCTTAAAGGGAGTTGGATAAGGAACTATATAGGGGACTACTATGGGGGTAATTAAAGGGGATACGAGGAGCTTAGACTATGGCTCATGTGACGGCACCCGCTTCCCCCGCCTGTAAATCCCTTGGACTTGTTGCGACAGATTGTCCAGCTTGTCATGCAATTATGGTTTTGTATTTCCGGTTTGTCATTGTAGAAATCCGGATACACGTTTCTGAAATTGCGTTTTCAAGGTTTAAGATTACTTCTCAAAGTAACCGACTAGGAGGACGTATGGTTCTGAGCCGTGTCGATCGGTCACAGGGGATGGTGGGTGTCCAGGTCGTCATCCGCGTAGCTGTCCTAGTTTTTCATTAATGGGAGGCCCCACTCTCGTGACTGTGATTGTCTGTTGATATCCCAGATCTCAAAAGACCAACAATCACACGGACGGTGGGTGTCCTGGTTACGATGTACACAACTTGTCATTGTTTTTCGACGTTTCTGATCTTAAGTAAAATGCAAGCAGTCGCAGGCATGGTGCATGGGTCAGAGAGAACCACCCACACCACCAGATCTAACCGACTTAAGAAAAATCATTGCTGAATTGCTAAAGGCTTCAGAATGCTACTTCAGTGTTGATTCCACCAATCGGCAAGAATGCTGACAGTTGTGGGGAGGAGGAAGACACCCACACTACAGGCGGGATGGGAAAGATCTTACTCCCTGTGACAAGAGCTTCTGCATCGTGAACCCACAGCAACTGACACACGCCCGTGTCCCAACCACCAACATCCGCAGCAGGGAGGGGGACCACCCTTATGAAGACCTCATTCCATCTCTGTAGAGCCCATGTCAAGAAGACCCTACCACGGGTAATCTCATCCACAGCCACGCCCCTCACCAAACCCACACAAGGCGGAGGAAGGGGTCTGAAATCCAGCAGGAACAAGGACCATACCATGAGGGGTGTAGTCCACCCAAAGACACACACGGGGGGAGGAGGGTTTTTTGATCCAGGCAACAACAAAGACCATTTTACGGGTGGGCCTAGGCGATTACGCTTGAATTCGAAGAAAAACTTAATTTCCTGAGGTGTTTTTAAAGCAAGTTGAACATGAAAGAACATGCGATAGAAGCATGTGAGCAAGAACTAGGATTTTCTTTCTTTTTCACGTTGTCCTTGATGTTTCAAGGTTTCCCATCCAAGAAGGTGAATTTCTGAGTTTACATGCAATCCAACTGCAAGTCAGGACTTCCTAAGCCTGCGTTTCCTTTTTCTCAGTGCTTTTAAGCAGGCTTCATAGGCATAATCTAAACCGTGTAGCTGGATTTAGGGATCCTGATTTGTTAGTGAAACAGTGGTTGCTTGGGTCAGAATTGAATGAGCCTCTCTATGACTCCTTCAAGTGACACACCCCTAACAATACACGAGTTTTTTTGACAACCCATCACTCAGTAGCAAGTCGGTTTTATTTACCAACTTTTGGTTCTGGGAGCTTGGAGAAACTTTTACGGAGGGTCTCTTTTGATATTTGAAAGGTTTGGAAGCCTGTCAGCATACAACTAAAGTTCCACTGCTGATAGGCGGAGCTTGTGGAGTGCCTTGTGCATGGGAAAGCAGCGGGCATGGCTCTGACAAGGCCCTCTTCCTCACAGCGTGCCTCTCTTGGTCAATTGGCTTGTGCTGCTCGGATGCAGTTGCTTGCGGGCTCAACCGCACAAGGGGCCTGAGATGGATATGAGGTCTGCTGCCGTTCTTGGTCCTCACATTGGGCTTCTACGGCTTTCTGTTCGCAGGCCGGCGTAAACAAGGGGAGATTGGTTGCAACTTGAAACACGCAGTAGACATCTACAACAAAGGTTTGTGAGGCTGACGCGTGCAAAACACTCAATCCCATGGGGGCTTCTTTCAACACTCCGGGCTGCATTTTCTGTTGTGGGGGGTGCGCAATTGATTCGCATGTTCATGAAGACCAACCTGGTGTGAGAGAGCATGGGCAGAACTGAGCAGCCCTACAGTAGCTGTTTCGTGATGCAAACCTTGCGTTTCACCGGAAAAACTGCCAGAGATGGATCGACATTTTTCGTGTCTTGAGACATGGCCGTGTCAGGTGGTGTTTTCTGGCTTGGCCGATTCTGTTGCTGCGGTGTGCTGTGCTGCTGAGCAGAAATTTGTGGTTTGTGATATGAGTTGTTAATGTTGTGGTTTTAGCTTTGGATTTCAATGTTGCTATATGCTTTCTTCATTCCTGTCAAGCATAAATACCACTGTGACTAAGTTTCACATCTGAGGTTTTAATGGCAATCTTCAGAAGACCTAATAAACAAGGCCTAACAGGCAAGCATTTAGTTTCATGCGGCGACCGGACCCTGCTATGTCACAGGTTTGCAACCTCTGAACTTGGTTCCCTCAGCTCTCTCAGACCCTAAGCCCTCTAATGCACTTTGAGCGCCTGGATGCAGAATCCAAAAGTCCTTTCAGATCCAAACCATCAACCCCCAAGCCTCGCTTCTTAGCTTTGCGCAAGCATACCAAACATCTTAGAGTCAGGTGCAGCTAGGGTTTACTCAGTATGTGTTGAAGTTCCCTATTCCTCATGATGAGGATCTGACGATAGGTCCTTTTCCCGAGGTTCCCACATGTTGTCTTGGGGGTCAGCAGCAGGGATGCAGCGTCGTGACAAACATCCACCTTCTCTAAGATCCTGGCGTGAGCATGGAACCCAGCGAAGCGAAGGGAATCCTTCTGCATGTGCATGTGCTTTAGATTTTCTACTCATTAGACCTGAGATGTTCAAGAGTACCTTCACTTGGGGCTTCTCAACATGTTTGGCCTAGCTTGGAATAACCAAGAATCAGAGTGATTATATGCGTCGGGTTTAAGATAGCATGACTACAAGCGTATTCTAGTGATGTTGAGCCTCTCATGCAACAATGACCAGTGTAGAAGAACATGCGTACAGAAGCTTTTGCACAGCGACAAAAGACGATATACGTTCCTGGTCGATGATGAAGCATTTATGAATCAATCAAGGCCAGCTTCGGCCGATTAGGACAATTATTTGAAGACCTCTGCGACGAAGTTATACGACGAAAGACAGCGCCCAGGTATGATGAATCTAAAGCTTCCGGAATCCGTTCGTGCAGAGCGGCATCTCGATACTTTTTCGTGGTTTAGGAAGTGTTTAGAGGAGCAACGTCGCCTACGAGGGTAGTTGAGAGTACGTGTTAATGAAAGCAATTGGCTTCGGATAGTAGTAGGAGCAGGAGCAGGAGCAAAAAGAGCAGAGGGAGCAGTTGCTGCTGGTCCTGGTTTGCAGAAGGTGTGGTAGTTGTACTGGTTGTGCTTTGCGCAAGTTTCAGCATCTTGCGGAAGTGGTCAGAAACTCCGGAGGCGTGCTGGGAGCAGAGCTGCAAGAGCCGCTAAAAACCAGAAATGCTTAGGGAATCTTCAGCATCCGGTTGCAGTTGCGACGGGGCTTGGTAGGAGTCGGCTCTTGAGCAGGGAGCAAAAAAATGTCCTTCCTCGAGCTCCATGTTCTTGGTGAGGATTACATATGCGGTGGCTTTACAATTAGCAACGAGGAGGTTGATGTTTCACCTGAGGCCAAGCAACCGCGTTCGCATGCAACGCGGTGCTTCTAAAATCCTGGGAAGACAAACCTCGCTACTGGGCGTGTTGGCGGGGTTTAATGCAAGGTCTTTGACATAGGCAGACCGCATCAATGCTAGTCCAACTTGAGCCTTGAAACGGGTTTAGTGAAGCGAGAGCTTGAGCCTTTTGTTTCGGCCTTCCCTGGTGACCACATTTATACATGAAATTGTTGACCATGGTGATGACGCTGATAATTGTTACGATATGAGCCTTGCCCCTGCACACTCTTCACTCAAGGTTCTTGAAACGGAGTGAAGGGTGCTGAAAAGATTTGCCTTTGCATACTGTGGGCTTGTTGAGAATTTTTCTCGATTCTTTCCTGACGTTATCCGTGATTTATACTAAACAGAGCCATCGAAGCTGCAGTACTCCATAGCAAGCTCTGTCATGTTAATTTATGATGGGGACTATGGGGCTAACAAGTGCACTTTAGGTCCTCATTTTGTTCGCAGGTCTGTTCGACCGAGGTCTATCATGCCGTCGACAAAGACAGCAGAGGCGACGAACGAGACGAACGAAACCAACCAGAACAATGAGACTGGGGTTAAAACAGGGTTGCAGGGCTCTGGGCCTTAGGATGTGTCAGGTTAAGTGTGTATGCAGGGTCTAGCATGCCTTTACAGCATTTTCCATTCAGGAGGCACACTGGAAAGCTGATTTGGCACACGCCAATTTGGAGAAAGTTTCCCAGCATGATGAATTCAGACAGGCTTTTGTGGCGCATTTCTCGTGCATATATGCCAACATGATCAGGTGCTGAACGATCAAAGGCATGTAACTCAATTCACAAGATGCTGCTGCAAAAGACAGAATGTCGGTTAATGCAGGGCTGGAGGAATGCAGTCACTTTAAGATCTCGGCTCTGCAGAAATGTGGAAGGAAGCTGAGCAAGTGATTATGAAATCCGCTGCCGCCACACCTTTCGCGTCCGCAGCTAGAACCATGGCCGTTGCTTTAGTTATGACCCTACCAAGCCTCCTCACCGGGCACTGGATTGGGGAGGCTTTGCTTCTTTTTCTGCAGGCTCCAGCCCAAAAAGCTTCTATTGCCGTAGTGCTTGCAGACGTCATCCGCCTTAGCCTCTTCAAGTAGACGAGCTGCTCCTTACTACGTCTTGCATCTTCTTGCGGGTCCTTTCTATGGTTGTCCGCAGGGTTTCTTGAAGTATGAAACTGACGCATTATGTAGCATGAGCACACACAAAAAGCCGCTGCCGTCCACGGTGGCCTGACATTTCCTTGAAAGTAGCCCAGTCAGGTAAGCAGAAGGGACTGCCGTAGTTGTCCGCATAAACTCGAAATCTTAAAACCACTTCAAGACTTCGCTTGATCATCTGTCCTGGCTCAGGAGATTGTTTCAGAATCAGAAGAAGGGCGCTTATCATTTTCCGGCGTTTCAGTTTAGGGGTGCGGGGGCTCAAGACGGGTTTTCTTGTGACAATGCGTGCTGGGTCTAGAGTCCGGGTAGCTTGATGGATTTCGTGTGTAGCCCGGAACCTTAGAGCTTAATGCCTCAACCCTCACTATTCAAGGATGAGTTGTCCTTCGTCTCCAAACTCAGCTTAGGACACCAATCAGAACAATCAGACTGGCGGAGAAGGCTGCCGGGACTGACCAGAAGCCTGATGAAAGATTCACAAAACACTGGTGTCCTCTTTTGGGTTTCTTCTTGGGTGAGAAGCAGTATTTAGGGCTTTCAACTTGGCTTTCAACAAACAGCCGTAATGTTTTGCAGTATTTGCATGCGCTAGACGCTGGGTCTTACAGTACCTGCACTGTATTTGAACGCATGTTTGACCTCGAGGATTGAGGTTTAGGAACCACATCGGGCCTTTCCCATGAACGTAGCTCTGCACTGACCACGCCTTCTAGGGCTGTTGATGGATCATTTCCGGACATCGGAAAATACAGGCATTCCACTGATCTAAGCTGCAGACTGTTCCTCCAACCTCCAGGATATAGGTTGTCAACGCTGGAACTCGACAATTTAACTCTGAGCTTGTGCACAGGCACTGCTTCGTGATTCAGTGATGCTGCGCAGCAGCCAGTGGCTCCTGGGAACCCGCTGGCAGTTTCGTTTTATCGGAGTTGTTACAACAGACCCCCCCCCCTTCATGACCCCTCAATGGTTGAATTCTGTATTTTTCCGCTTCCCGCACAAGACTTTAAAACATGAGCAGCCCCGTCAAGCATCGAGGCCCGGAGGATGGAGGGTTTTGTTTATTGTACCGGGTTTATGACATATGAGCAAAGCCAAAACGGCACAAGTTCCAGGCAGGAGCAGGAAATTGCTGCCACTGTCCTACGGCTTCATCATGAAATGATGGCAGAGAAGCCATATTTTATGCTTGTTTGCAAAGTCATCTCTCGGGTGATCGAGACGCCAAGTCTTCATGAGAAGCGCGCATACGCCGGAAGGTTCTTTTCTATGTGCGCGCGGCTTCTCCGGCAGTTTACAAGGAAGTCCTCCCAGTTGGAGATGCTTGGAGATTAGTCATTAGTCGAAGCGCTATCGATTGGTTGTTGGGGTTTGAACGCACCTCAGGACTGTATGCTTGCATGAGAGGCCTTTCGACATCATGCCTTTTTAAATCCGACCTGTGCCAGCTGCTTGCACTTGTGAAGGTACTCCCAAAGGAGAGATCCTTCAGAGCATTTGCGAAGCCTGCTGTCCTGTTTCACTTGCTTGGCATGCGTTCCGCATAGGCCAGAAGCGAGCTAAGAAAACACAAAAATTGTGGATGTCTCGAAATTGCTTCGACTGCTTAATCAAGAGTTCTCTGATGCTGCCTGCTTCGGCTGATAGACTAGCTTCGAGTTGTTGTGTCAGGTCATCTTACGAGATCCGAAGAGCCAAGAAGTGCTGCCAGGATCCTAGAACCAGGGGTTTCTCAAAAAATGCGTCCCTCTGGGCCTCCGGGCTGCGCATAATTTTTGGATGACTCTGTTATGGGCGTAAAGATGCAGACAGTATTGTTAAGAAGCTTGCGAGTTTGCTGACGTGACCTTGAGATTTGACAATGACTGCTCCAGCAGCCAATCCTTTCGCCCTGATATCTAATAGCCCCCTCCACTTCTGCTCGATGCATGGGGCTAGCCCAACGCAGTTGAGCAGCAATTATCTCAGGGCCTAGAGTAACCCCTTTGTTGGGTATACCGAGAGGAGTTCTTGAAAATGAGGACAGAGTTTGCACGCCTCAGGTTGCGCTTCACTGCTGCCTATGGCTTCCGAAACATTCAGAATGCCATGACCTGAGTGTAAGGACGAGAGTAGCATAGAGTCGAGGTAAGGAACATAACGCGCAGGCACGCGATCCGCCCTGTTTCGGATACCCAATTCCGAGCCAAAAAGGCTGCAGGCATTCGTTGTGGCATTTCGCTGGAGACCTGGAACCTACAAAATCCCAGTGTGACCGTAGCCAAAGAAAGCACGATCCGGATCGAGAAGTCATGCCCATGGCTTGTGGAGTTGAAAACGGATGGCGGGCCCAAACCATCAGTCCAAGAGGTCAATCCCCTGATCCACATGGCCAAGCAGACTTGTTGAGTGTAAACGCAGCTGGTTAGATTTGACCCCTCCCTCGAGCGACATTAGCTCCACTTAGTTTAGGCGGACTCATGCCAGGTCATTCGCCGCATCACGAAGGCGGAAACTTGCCTTCTGTCAGGGCTGTGGGGCATGTGTCTGTTCATCAGCAATGCATCAGAAGAATGTCGTACCTTTGTGGCTGTCTCCTAGTAAACTGGAGTACAAACATGATACTTTTGGAGCTTGCAGACTTTTCATCTAAGGGAGGCCAACTACTTGAACACAAAAGATCAATGAACCCTTAAAACTTAAAATCCTTGAAATGCGGATATGAAGTTTGACCCTGCCAAGGACCTGCAGGGCCCAGATCCTGACGTAGACAAGCAGGGATAGAATTTCCGTTCTCATTAGATTCTTGATGGTTGTTGCCATCGTCGTGAGTATCACTGTGACTGCCATGACACGTCTGTTGGCGCTTGTGATGTTTCTCCTGCTCCCGATGCACTATGCATTTCTCATACAATTGCGGTCTGTGTACCTTGCCAAAGCGATGTCAGAGCTTTTTTGCGTGGCACATGTCCGCAGTGGGCAGCGGCCAGGGGAGCAATGGCGATGCTGGCAGAGATTTGGGGCACTTTGTGGAGATCATGGCCTGCCCTGGAGGTCTGCTTCCGATGCTCTTTCTAGCCTGTACAGTGCGCGAAATGCCAATCATAATCATGCCAGCAGCAAAGGCGGTGGTGTAGTGCAGCGCTGGTGGCGGTGGCAGCTGTGGTGGTGGTGGTGGTG